GGTATGACTATCATTCTCAGACTCTCACATTGTTGTGTTTGGCCCACTCTTCTTTACAACAATGCTTTAGTTCATTGAGGTTTGTAGGCATTTGTTTATGCACAGCTCTCTTAAGGTCCTGCCAAAGCATTTCAATTGGGTTGAGGTCTGGACTTTGACTGGGCCATTGCAACAACTTATTTTCTTTTTTAGCCATTCTGTTGTAGATTTGCTGGTGTGCTTGGGATCATTGTCTTTTTGCATGACCCAATTTTGGTCAAACTTTAGCTGTCGGACAGATGGTCTCACATTTGACTCTACAATACTTTGGCATACAGAGCAGTACATGGTCAACTCACTGACTGCAAGTTGCCCAGGTCCTGTGGCTGCAAAACAAGCCCAAATCTTCACTCCTCCAATACAGTGTTTGACAGTTAGTATGATGTGTTTGTGCTGATATCCTGTGTTTGGTTTTTGCCAAACATGGCACTTTGCATTATGGCTAAACATATCCACTTTGGTCTCGTATGTCTATAGGACATTGTTTAAGAGGTTTTGTGGTTTGTTCAGATGCAACTTTGCAAACCTAAGCCAAGCTGCCATGTTCTTTTTAGCGAGAAGAGGCTTTCTCCAGGCAAACAAACCATATTCAGTGTTTTTCTAATTGTACTGTCATGAACTTTAACATTTAACATGCTAATTGAGACCTGTAGAGCCTGAGATGTAACTCTTGTTTTTTTTTGCAATTCCTCTGAGCATTGCACGGTCTAACCGTGGGGTGAATATGCTGGGATGTCCATTTCTGGGAAGATTGGCAGCAGTCTTAAATGTTTTCCACTTGTGAATATTCTCCCTCACAGTAGAATGATGGACTTGTTTGGAAATGGCCTTATAAACCTTCCCAAATTAATGGACAGCAACACTTACTTCTCTAAGGTCATTGCTGATGTTTTGCCTCCCTGGCATTGTGTTAACACACACCTGATTGCTCCACACCAGCAAACTGCTCAAAATTTGGCATTTAAGGCTTGTTCACACCAACTCCAGACTAGATCTCGATGCGTTTCTGCAAACACGGTCATGTGCATTTTTTATGCTTTCTGCTGCATTTATTTTAGCCTCAGTTGGCTTTTAAGTGCTTTCCAGTGCATACTGGTGCATTTGCATGCATTTACATGCGTTCCAAACCAGAAAAGATGTGACATGCTGGACTTTTTTTTAGAAAGCTCTGGAACTGAATGCAATGTTGTGAACTACACTAAGAAAACCATTGGAATCTATGGGGATGCGTTTTTGGATCAGACAAAAAAATGTTCTGGTCTGCAGATGGGGTGAACAAGCCCTTATAGAGGTGTTCACACTTGCTGGCTTTATTTTGGCTTTATGTTTGTAAAATAAATAACACGGTGTAATATGTCATGTGGTGTGTGGGTCATCGGAGGTTGTATTTATCTAATTTTAAGCCCTGCTAAGGATCAGATAATTTGTATTATTTCTTGATACTTAAAACCATAGGATTCAAAGAGGGTGTACTTTCTTTTTCACACGACTGTATATAGCATTAGATGCAGCCTGCCAACTTGTGGTAGCACTAACAGCAGTAGCAAAGGCCATGATCTGTGGTTGGATAGGATGGAGTCTGCATTCCGCTCAGGTGTGAGTGCTGACAACATGATTTCTTTGCTGGAAAAGTTATCAGCAGATTATGTTGGTGAGGTAAGACCCACAGAAGATCCAGCAGATTAGTAGGCCACAGTTGGTTGTTGCACCAAATTCCAAAGATATTCTTTCTGACCAGAATTCCCAGTTTCATAGATAACAGAATAATTTTTCTCAGGAGACTGCCCCCAAATTGTGTACAGTTTTTTTTCTCTCCCTGAGACAAAAAATACCCAGGCATGCAAGGAGTTAGACAAGAATGAATGGGACTAGTCACCAAGTGTCAACCAGTTGACCCATAAGTGGGGGTACCTCAAATGGACCTTTTTGCAATACCACAGAACTCGCAGCTACCACAGTTTATAATAAGCTTACCCTACAGGAGAGCCTGGACGATATACTGTATGTGATTATAGCCCTATGGCCTTTTAAGATATCCTTTGTTTAATCTCATGTTTCCTCAGAAGGCTAATACAAGAGACACTAGCATGGTTATTCAGAAAAGGGTGAATTGTTTGGAGAAGTGAACAATCTAGGCCAAAATAGCCAATTTGGAAACATTCTCCAATTCAGCTCACTTTCCAGTGCAGCTATGTTGTCCTAGATTGTTCACTTCTCCTGCCTTCTCCAAACTCTTCACCCTTTTGTGAATAACCCTGTAGGTGTCTTTGCAATGATATCTGTTTGGATGAACAGGCCTTCTCTGGAAATTGAAAATCCAAAACCCATTGCCTCTAAAACATAGAGTCCAACATCTTTAGCCAAGCAGACTGAAGCTGACGACCTGACTATCGAGAAGTAAAGGTTGATCAAACAGGCATGCTTGCATACAGCAGTGCAGACTTGCTGAATGCCAGAAAAATATTTGGGCAAGGTTTTTTGAGTTTGCATCAAATTTGGACTTTGATGCAACCTCAGGCCCAAAACACTCTAGCTTTTCTACAGTCAGGGTCTGAGCCTAAGCTCCTGAAGGTTCAGTTTTTCGCTATCTCTGGGATAAGCAAAGTTCATAGGCCTCGGAGAGGTTAGCCATTCAAACCATTAGAGCAACAATGCATGTTCGATCTCTGAGATCTCTGATCTCTGTTTCCAAAGTGGAGCCTACAACTAGTCTAATTACCAAGTGGAGCTATCTGTACTCACAACCCTAAAGTTTGGACATAGAGTTCTTAGTTCCACTTTGTCCAATTAAAGGTATCCTGCATTAACCCTTCCTATGACTGGCTATTTATTTCCCATCAGTGTGATGTCATGCAAATGCCAGGAAAATTGTAATCACATACCTACCATAGTTTTCCTTTCCTTGCCTGCGTACCTACCTAGTTTCCTTTCCTTTCATGGGTGGGACCAAGTAATGCATGGCATTACTTGGTCCCACCCATGCAGGAGTAGGTCTAAAAAATTTAACATCACCCTGCGGGGATCAAACATTTGTAGATATACGGTCCTATGAGATTATCTGAGAGTTGGGGCTAAAATCATTAGTTTAATTTCACACAGTCGGGAAAGGTAAATTACGGTAAGTATCTGATAACAATTTCCTGTTATATCTCCCAACACTGATAAAAATGAACCCAGCTATCATTATTTTGGCCAAAATATATATTCACTTCTGAGAGATACATTTACAATCTAAACATTCTGCTAACATACAGCAATTATCTTGGTATTTTTCTTCAAGAGCACAATGGCAAAGATTAAATAATAGAAACAAGACTATAGAAATAATAACTGGTTTAAAGAGTTAAAGAAGAAAACAAGCTATTGAACCATTTAATTCAAAATCACTTATAGAAGTTAAAATTATGCTTACCAAATGATGGTGTCAGGTATTAAGCAAATCAACTCAGACACATAAATGCTGAGACTAAGGTAAAACATCAACTGAACCATTTGCTTGCATAAAGCTCAAGGGTGCAATATTTAAAGCACTTTATTCAATAAAAAATGCTTTTAAAAAGGTACTTTGGTGATTGGGAAAAACTGGAATCATCTGTCAATGTGACTGCAAGAAAGTTCAATAAGCTAAATAATGAACCATTTACATTATTTTCCTCAGGCTCCATGACTTGTGTCAATAGAACTCTTAAAAAAATTATGATGTAGACCTTGTACTTTGCAATTCAAAGAATGCACGTTTATTTATACGTGTATAAAAATATATAAGGGGTGAAAAATATACCTTTTTAAAATGTTATATAGCAATTAGAGACAATATTCAGGATGGATATTTTTACAAGGTCTGCATATAAAATTTAACTTGAAACGTACCCTCCTTTTCTTAATTCTTCCCTAACATTTATGCATATATTACAGGTTAACTCCACTCAAAGATGCTTTTTTTGTGTGGCAGAACCCCGTTGCTTGATGCTTCTAGTGCTTGTACGCAGGCTTTGAATGATACAGTAACATAAAGCAATGCAATGCACCTCAGCACAAAAGCATTAATTTATTTCAACTTTGGAGTATTTTGGTTCAACTTTTGAGAACCATTCGAACTTACCTAACAAACAGAAATGTTTTAAATGTTATATTATAGAGGATCCACTAGGAAAGAGGGTCATCCTTATATACAGGTGAAACTCGAATAATTAGAATATCGTGCAAAGTTCATTTATTTAACTAATGCAACTTAAAAGGTGAAACTAATATGTGACATAGACTCATTACATGCAAAGCAAGATAGTTCAAGCCGTGATTTGTCATAATTGTGATGATTATGGCTTACAGCTCATGAAAACCCCAAGAACCCCAAATCCACAACCTCAAAAAAGTAGATTATTACATGCAATCAATAAAACAAGGATTGTATATAGAACAATATCGGACCTCTGAAAAGTACAAGCATGCATATGTACTCAGTACTTGGTTTGGGCCCCTTTTGCAGCACGTACTGCAATTACTTTTGCACGATATTCTAATTATTCAAGTTTCACCTGTAGCTTATCTACAGTGGCTGCAACAGTTGGATAGGGAAATCTAAACACTAGAGTTCACAACAAATTGATGATGTAAACACACTATTTGGCTTACCAGCCACTCTACAAAACAGAAGTGTCAAGAAAATGTTGAACTCAAACCCCACATGCTTAAATTTCACCTGTTCTACCCAAACCCATATATCAACCTCATTCATTTGCCCAAATGTCTATCCCATGCCAGATCTGAAATTCAGCAGAGACAGAAATACATAGACACACAGGTAAACACTGACCTACTCAAATGAAATTTAAATACAGGCATTCTATAGATCAAAACAAACAAAAATCACTGTGTGGATACTTGGCTGAAAACAGAATATCGGAAAATATATTAAAAAAATAAATTTCTGGTTTTAAAAATATAAAATACAGAACACTAACCTCATCAGGACTTGATGCTTGGTAGGTGCGATTTTCATCACAGAAGTCTTGATCAACTTCAGCATTTTCTGCTTCATAGTTTACTCCAGCTCGTGATTCGTAAACTGGGGTGACGTTGTGACATAAAGCAATGGCTTTCACTGCTTTGTGGACTCGACTGCTCACTGTTTTGCGTACTTTAGGGGCTGCAGACTGGACCTTTGTTGAAGTAGTTGAGCTGGTATTGTTGTTAGGGGCTTGAGGCTGTATCTTGAATGTAGGTTACAAAAAAATCACATCAATAATTTCTTATTCCACGACTACAGAAAACCAACTTACGAAAGACCAATTTTATCCAATAACTAAAATATTGCAATTCAGTCTAAACACAAAATACGGCAACATAAACTGTCCATGTAAGAAAATTCAACAATCCTGAAAAAATATTTCACAGATAAGACTTGTTGCCATAATAATAACAATCCAGTTATAAAACAATAGCAATGTACACATTTTTTTCAAGCAAATGTTACATAGTTATTCAGGTTGAAAAAAAGACACAAGTCCATTGAGTTCAACCAATTCAACATTAGTTTATTACTAGTTCACAGAGATCAGAAATATGGCCAAAAAAGTCCAGTTACGGAGCAAATTAAAGCACCTAATGATTAATAACAAATCATGATGGAGCCTATGGGCTACATAGAAATTAGTAGGTTGCTGGGACTTCTGATCAGGAATAATCAGTCACTAGACCCAGTGACTGAAGAAATCCAATGAAGCTATGCCTACCAATGTTTTGAAGACAGATAGCAGGTGATATCCCTACCAAGATGTAATAGTACAATCCACAAATGTTCAATCTTACCCCAGATAGATAAATGTGATCAGCTTGATGCAAATCATTTCACCTATAAGTGTTAAACTGGAACTGTACTGCTTTGTTCTGGGTGGGCTATAGCCATAATGTGTAAGTATGTGCAGCATACTTGCACATTATGGCAGATTTACCTCCTAGAGTGCCCTCCTCCAGTGCTGCAATATCTGCAATCCTCCTTATCGCTCCATAGCTGTCACTAACATCTTCTGATCTACTTCCAGTTTCCTTGTCTTTCATGTCTGCCAAGAATGCTGTAACTACTGAGTGTGCGCACAGGTGTTACATTTTCCCCGACACCTGACTGCATTACATTCCAGCAGTTTTTAATTTTTACATAATTTTAAACTTTTAGTGAGAAAATTAAAAACCTTCATCTAGTCCTTTTACCGGTACTTAGATGTGGTGGCTGCATTAGTTTTATTTTATTAGACTTACTTTCCTTTATTTTCACCTGATGGTCTTGTGAGTAATACAACTTTTAACGCGTTTTTTAAGCACGTTTTTCCGTTCAGTGAAACGCGCTTTTCACTGGCGGTATGATTTTTTTTTTCTCCTTTATTTTCTCTATTTTTTTAAAAAAAGCAACGCGTTCCTACACGCTGTAAAACGCCCAGGTGGGAATATGTGAAAACCAATGATTGCCTATGGGCATGGTGCCCATAGGCAATCATTGGTTTTCACATATTGAGCGTTTTACAGGGCGTAGGAACGAGCTGTAAAACGCCCAGGTGTGAACCAGGACAGAAAATGGACTATAGAGCACCTGTTCTTCGGTTCATCTGCATGCCGGGGGAGGGAGTGCTGGAGCATTTACAGTTGAACAGCAAACCAGATATTCAGTAAGGCTTGTGCAGAGCTAAACACCACTGTATAAAATAAGTTAAGTATCAGACTGACAGGACTGTGCAAAGAAATAAAGCCTTAACTGGTTCATAGTGCTGCCCCTCCCTTTTCCAGTCTCTAAACCAGGGGTCTCAAACTCAATTTAGTCGGGGGCCACAGGACACATTTTTTAGTCCCGTGGTGACTAAATTGTCTGCACATGTTACAAGTTTGATTGTCTGCACATGTTACAAGCGGCAACTGTCACCGATTCAAATGAATGATCGGGTGACAGCTGCTGCATGTAAACGCCTGCACACCGCATGTAATCATATGTGAAAGGATTACATGCAGTTAGGAATCTGTCACTATCCCTGGATACACAATCGTGTATCCAGGGAGAGTGATTGTTTTTGTAACTTCATGTAATCCTATCACATACAATCACATGCTGTATGTAGGCGTTTACATGCAGCAGCTGTCACCCGATCATTAACTTGAATGGGTGACAGTTGCTGCATGTAAACGCCAGATTAGGGATTCCTGCTGCCGGAAAATGCAAGTTTGTGACACAGGAATACAATCGTACCTGAAATATAGGTGTGAATGGGGCCTAATATACACACAGAAAAATACAACCCCCCCCTGCACAAATAAAATAATACACACCCTCTGCACACATTTAATACACTGTGCCCCCCAGCACATAAAATAATAAACTTCCCCCCTCCCTCCAAAGCCCCCCAGCACACATAATAAACTTCCCCCCTCCTCCCAAGCCCCCCAGCAGACATTATAA